AAGCTGCTTCTGAGTTGTAGGAACAAGTTCTCAACAGCTTTTGGTTTCTATTATAAGATTAAAATTTTGTCAGTAAAGTCCAAAAAGTGATTCCTGAGAGGGCTAAACTTACAGCCAAACTCTTTTTCTAGATTCAGCTTTTCATGAGGGAGAATGTGTTAGCTGGAGATAAAGTATGTCACTTTTGGTTACATTCCTTCCATGAGAACCTGAGCACAGGGATAGATAGTTCCCTCATATTCCATGCTGCTTATTCTCAGCCCATTAGGTATTAGCACAAAACCATATGTGTGTGTGTGTGTGTTTTCTTCAATGGAAATGTTCTGAACATTTAAGATTAGAAAACTGTAGATTTTAAAATCTGTATGTATCATATCTGTATTACAGGTGATGGTTGTTATAAAAATATAAATAAATTCAAGTTCATATGAGTTCTGCATTATCCTTACTTTGTGTGTGTGTGTGTGTGTGTGTGTGTGTGTGTGTGTGTGTGTTTTCTTCAATGGAAATGTTCTGAACATTTAAGATTAGAAAACTGTAGATTTTAAAATCTGTATGTATCATATCTGTATTACAGGTGATGGTTGTTATAAAAATATAAATAAATTCAAGTTCATATGAGTTCTGCATTATCCTTACTTGCCTTTCTGTCAGCATATTACTAAGGTCCTTTTCTGTTCCAACTTTTATGAATAAGCAAAATAGACACACTTAGGTGATGTGAAAGGACCATCATTTATGATAACTAGTACAATTATAACTTTTATTGTTGTTCGTTTTATTTGAGATAGGGTCTCCCGACAGCCCCAGCTATCCTGGAACTTGTTATATACACCAGGCTGGCCTCAATGTCACAGAGATTTTTTTTGCCTATCTCTGCCTGCCTAGAGCTGGGATTAAAGGAATGTACCACCATGTCAGTCAATTCTTTTTTTTTTTTTATCAAATAAGAAACTTAGACCTTGAAAACTTTAGTGAAAATGCCAGAAGTCAGTCAATCTACTATATGATACTAAACTTTACTTTTATGCTAGTTGGAAAAAATCCAAACCCTCAAGCTGGAGAGATGGCTCAGTGGTTAAGAGCTCTTGCAGAGGACCTGGGTTTGAATCCCAGCACCCACATAGCAGCTAACAATGATCTGTAACTCAATTTCCAGGGGATCTGACACCCTTTTCTGACCTTTGAGGGCATTGCAGGACAAAGGTGCACTTACATGCATGCAGACAATACACTCTTACACATAAAACAAGAATAATAATCTTTTTTAAAAAATTCAAATCCTCATTCTTCTCTATGGATTGTACAGATATGTGTTTGTTAAAAACAAGTGTAATTAAGTAGTGATGTATCTATATGAGATAAATATACTTTAGTTATTCATTTATTTTTACTAAACTTAAAAGTATCAGATTTTTTAATGCCATTTGGTTGACCCCTCTCCTACTGTCTCATCTCCCCCATCTCCCTGTCCCCATCCCCTGTTAAACTTTTCCACTTCTGGTATTCTCCATTCCACATTCATGTCACGTGCGTTCTATTACCCTCCCCATATCTGCCCTTTAAAGCCTCTGTTTTCTCCTCTCATGGGCCCTTTTCTATTTTCCTGATATCTATATACACTTACTCCCATATAAATGCACACATAATACACACATGTAAAATTAGAATCTTGCATCTACATTTGAGAGAGAACATGCAATATTTGTCTTTCTGAAACTGGTATACCCCTTGTAGTACACTATGTTCCAGTTCTACCCATTTTCCTGCAAATTAAAAAAATATTTTTCATATGGCTTAATAAAATTCCAGTGTACCCCATTTTCATTATCTATTCAACTGTTGATGGACATCTAGGCTGATTCCTTTTTCTTGCTATTGTGAAAAGGGCACCAAAATGAACATGGATGTGCAAACCTTTCCGTAGCAGGGTATAGAATCCTTTGGGTATATGTCCATAAATGGTATAACTGGGCCATATTGCAATTAAACCTTTATACTGATTTCCATAATGGCTTCACCAGTTTGCACTATTCTTGGAACAATATTGATGCTGTCATCACTGGTATTGTAACTACAGTGCTTGTTGTTGCTTGAATTACAGTATTCTCCCTTCCACAGTCATAACACATGTGCTGTTTCACCCTTCCCACCCTTCTCCTTTGTACTTGTTACCTTGGAGACTATTTGCTCACACCACAAAAAAATATCATTTGAGGCCACTTATCCAATCAGGAACATTTATATATACTATTCAAATTACTTTTGATACATTTTGCTTTTTTGTGCTATTACAAATAAAATGATTTTACATAGAGAATGAGATGTAATTTCTATATGTTTTTGAAAGCTTGAACATAAGTTACTTTTGTAAAAGATGGAAAATATTAAACAATGGACAAAAGGCTTCAGGGTTACAAAAATACAAGGTAAATTATAAATGAAATTTTATCACAGTGACATCTCAGGTATAAAGATGTAATAAGTTGAGGGAATCAGAAGATCTAAGTTGAAGTTTGGACTCATCTTTGCTAAGTATTTCACCTTGGAATGATTCATCAAACTTCAATGATTCAGTTTCTTCACCCGCAAAGAATTAACCCTTGTATTAAGTACATCATTAGATAGAATATATAACAATAGAATACATAACATATGTCAGTGTTTCATAAATGAAAAATCATAGCACAAGTATTACTATTATACCAATGATCATAAAATGTGGACTTACAGAGAACTGCATAATTAGCACTTAGTATATTCACTTAAACAAGCTTCACTCGGTCGATATATCATGCAAAAGTTTACAAATTTCATTGACAATTTTAAACATATAAAGCTGTAAAACATGAAAACCTTTGTAGAGAAAGCCTGGAAAGACCCATATTTGGTAGCCATACAGCCAGTAAATGAGTTATAGTCATTTACAGAGTAAATGTGTATTCACTCTTTAAGTAAAGAAAGTTGCTAGTCACCTTATTTCCAACACTTCTGGCTTCTAACAAATAATCATATTTTGTTTAGGACTCAAGCATACTTTATAGGACATAAAAATAAAACTCTACCTCTAAATCACATTCAATGTGAACATGCATGAATGTCATACATAAAATACTGTTTTTTAATGACATCAGTTCCTTCAGACACTTGAATGTTTTAACTACACTTCATACTTATTTGATTTTGTAAAGAATAGTGAAATACAGTGAACACTTCAAATATTGTTTTTATAAGATAATACTCCACACTGAAAACTTTTTATTTTGGTTGTAAGAAAGAATGTAAGTCGACCATTAACCTTTTGCTTCAAATATGCATTTGGATGTTTGCCATTATACCAACACAAAAGGAGGAGAAGGAAGAGAAGGAGAAGGAGGAGGGGGACGAGGGCTAGGAGGGGGAGGAGGTGGGGGGAGGAAGAGCAAGGCAAGGAGATACAAGTGAAATACAATTGATTTCTTAAGTACACCAATGTCTTGAATCAAATGCAAAGTTCTTTAAAAAGTCTTGGCTACTTCATATGTGTCTGGAAATGGGACAGATATGCGTCCTGATCCAGTCACAAGAGGCAGAATTCCAGCAATCGGTATAACTTGCCAAGACAGAGTCAAAGTCACATTCCGGTTTCCCTTGAGACCGTGTCCATCGTCGAAGAAAAAGTACTTGGTTTTGACGTCTTTCAAGTGCAGCTTCGGGTTATCGCCTCTCAGAACTATCTTGTCCCAGAGGACCACCTGGTTCACCGCGTTGCTTTTGGTGGAATATTCGGCTGACAAATACAGAAAGAGCTGCTTGACATTCCAGTCGAAAGTCTTCTCCAGATCCGCAGAGATGTGGAATGTGATGAATCCCAGGTCGCTTTTCTTCCTCGGTCCAGTGAAGTCTTCCACTTTTTTGAGCAGGATCCTGGAGACGTGCAGGCGGACGGGCGCGCTCCTGTCTTTGAAGGCGGTGGTGAGGATGCAGCCCAAAGTGAGCGCCGCCATGACGCTCAGCGTAAAGGCGAACAGCGAGTTCGCCCGCGACAGCAGGGTGTTCATCTCGACCGGCCGGCGGCTCGCTCCACGCGGGCTCCACACGCACACGGCAGGCACACCGGGGCTCTCTCTCGGCTCCTCTTCCCTCTGCGTTGCTTCTGCGAGTGCCCAACGCCGGGAGCGCGCGTCCCGGGAGCGCGCACCGCCCACGGTGTCTTTTTTTTTTTTTTTTCCAAGTCGCTAGTTAACCCTACAACCACTGTCCTCTGATGGTCCAAGGCATTTGGAGAATCTGATAGAAAACAGCAGCACCGTGTCTCCACTTAGCTGGCAAGCCCAAGGGGCCCTGAACTGCCCCATCCCTTTACACCCTAGCAAAGCGTCGCCCCCCCGCCCCCCCGCCCCCCGCCTCTGCACACAGCTGCATCATGGCTTCCATACATCCTGATCCCTCCCTTGGTCTGCAGCAGCCTCCTGATGGCTGTCCCCCAACACTGTCTCAGGCTGCCCCCTCTCCAGTCTATTCTCCACACAGAGATCAGCCACCACCTGACAAGAATTAGGTCGTGCCACTCCTACAGTGGAACCCTCCACACTCAAATCACAGCCTTGATGTCACGCATAGCTCAAACTCTGTGAGGCATCTGGCCTTTCTATCTCATCCCCACGTTGTCTCCCAGGCTCCAGACACTGGGCTTGTCTTCTGCTTCAGGATCATCCAGAACCCACACAGTGCAAGCACACCAGTGAAAGGACCTGCCTGTGCCTGGCTTCTTGTCATCCAGGCCTTAGCTCAAATGCCACTTCCTGAAAAAGACCTTCGACAACAACCCTTTCTATCATAATCCTTGTCCAAATTGTTTTCTGTTTATTTTCTTCACCGGAAAAAAAAACCACTGAATTTGCCCTGCTGATCGATTTCTTTCTCTGCTTATTTCCAGTTTTGCCAATCTACAGTGACAGTTCCCAGGGCCTCTACTGGGCTTGTTACTTGTGCTCTTTTCCCAGTGCATTAGAACAGTGCCTCATACACAATTCACTGTATAATTCTTAATAAATTGAAGGAATTGCTATCTAACACTGTAGAGAAGATACAAACTTTAAAGCTGAGTAACAAATATACATCAAAGGACTCAAAATATTTGAAGATCTTGTTGCAAAAACCCATCAGTACCTTTCAAATCTCAGTGAATAGCAAAATCAACTGGAAACCATCCTTCTCAATTCCTGATTTTCATTCAGATGACTTGGAGTGGACCCAAATATTTTCAGGTTTAATAAGCACCAGCAGATTTTCGTGAAAGTTTCCTGTTTTGGAAAAAATCCTGACCTAATCAGGTAACATCTGAGTCCAGCTAATTAAATGCCACCCAGGTAGACTTCTGGGACAACTGAAGGGTCTTTACTGATGTAATTACACAAAGTGCCTTGGTTGCTTAATCAACCTGAGAAAACAGGGCTCTTTCCCAAGAGGGATTACTAAACTCTAGAATGTATTCCTATTCGTTAGGAGGATTGGATATTGTTTTCCTCTTGGTTGGGTGAGGCTGGTTTCAGGGTAGTTGCTTAGCCAGTGTCCTAAAGGTGGAACTCTGATTTCTTCACTCTTACTCCTATAACATTTCCAACAGATTCTACACTACACTTGCTTCTTTTCTATGAGCTCCTGATTCTGGAGTGCAGAGCCTATACCCTTGTCTGTCTTAAATAACACAAATGTTTGTACTATTAATTTAATTCAGGGTCTGGGAGTCCTGAAGTATCTGCTAAGATAGTTTCTTTAAAGTAGTCCTTGGTCTTTCCCATCACCTGAGTGCTTTCCTATATGGGATCATAGTTAACTTCAGAGTATTGCTTGTGGTCAGAAAGATTGGGAATTGTTATTTGCTTGGATATAGAAGACTGATACAAGGGTAGTGTCTTATAAAGAATATACCCATAGTGGGGGCCCTATCTCTCCTAAAACATGTCCAACTAACTCAGTTTCAGACTTATTCTATATGAGCCTCTGGTTCTGGGGTAAGGATTCTACATTCTTCTCTGATGCTATACTAAAAGGCAGAAGAGGAAGAACGAATGCACATGCAATAAAGAAGTAAGTAAGTGGATGGGTAAAGCAGACCCAGTTCACTGGAAGCTGTGCAACCATCCTTTTCCTCTTCTCAGCTCTATCCCACACTCCCTCTGCACACAAAGCAGTATAACTGAGACTCACCTAGCAGGTATGTGGGATAATCACTGTTTCCTCTGTAGCCAGTCCACTATGCTGATGTCAGAGGCATTGCATTGAGGGAGGAAATGTGCAGTGGTGAAATCTCATTTGCTGAGTGTCTACTGCATACCACACACTGTAGGTTGTTATTTTTAGATACTTTTTAAAAAGCTATTGTCTGAAGTGGGTAGCACCACTCCCTTTCTACAGGTAAGGAAATATTTCAGAAAGCAAAGTACATGTTCAAGGAATTATGGGAAAGTATCAAGCTAACACTGAGGCCATCTTGAAGGGACATTTACTGTTCAATTTGGGGAAAGTTTAGCATAGATAGATGATAGATAGATGATTGATAGATGATAGATAGATAGATAGATAGATAGATAGATAGATAGATAGATGATAGACAGATAACAAAATAAGGTAATGTATGAGAAAATGTGAATCTCTGAGTCATGCTGATAGAAATATGTTATGAGTGAATTAATAAGCAGAAAAAGTTCTACCACATCTCAAATATCAAACAATTAATTTTAGAAGGAAAATCAGAATTAGAAAAGCAGTACACAACACCATAGTGATAAGTGATTCAGGCAAAAATCATAAAGGGAAGCACAGTCTGCACCAATTCCCACAGCAGGCACTGAGTCGTCATGGTAACCACACTAGCCAAGGAAAGCTGGGAAAACAACAGTGACAGTAATTTTATTTCTAATATGTGGTAGGATCTGAGTAAGAATGGCATGACTAGTTTAATTAAGCCCAAGTATTCCTCATGATGAACAGTCCTGACAGCTTCAGTGACATACACATAAATAAATTCATACAGTCACACATACACATTTACACGCACATCTCCAACAGATTCATTTCTTTCTAAAAATATTTTATTTATTATTTTTATTTTATGTGTATGAGTGTATTGCCTGCATGTATGTGAGTGCACCCATGTCATGAAATGCCCACAGAGATCAGAAGAGGGTGTTGGATCTGCTGGAACTGGAGTTATGGACGGTTGTTAGCTGCCTATCATATGGATACTAGGAACTGAACCCGGGACTTCTGCAAGAGCAGTCGGAGCTCTTTATTGCTGAGCCATCTCCCCAGCCCCCCAACACATTCATTTCTAATCACATAAAGTTGAAAGCTACTGAGCTATGCTTTCTCAAGAGATGATTTTTTTTCTGTAGTCAACAGATAAAAAATGACATTTTTATTCCTAATTTCTATATATTTTCAATGACTTCTAAAATCTGATGTGGATGTACTGGCAAATACGTGTTATTTTGTCAAATCACTATTAAGTCAACCCCAATGGGTGTGATGCTAAAATAATAGCACATCAGACATCTTGATGTCCATTTCCAAGTGTTATTCTAGGGCAATTTGGGGTTTTTTTATTTGCTTGTTTGTTTGTTTGTTTGGTTGGTTGGTTGGTTGGTTGGTTGGATGGTTGGTTGGTTGGTTGGTTGGTTTCTGAGACATACTTTCCTTGTAGCCCCAGCTGGTCTGGAACTTCCTATGTAGACCAACCTGGCCATGATCTCACAGAGATCCTCCAGCCTCTGCCTCCTGAGTGCTGGGACTAAAGGCATGTGGCCAGCCTGGGCTATATAGTGAAAAATGGGAAGAGAGCCCCTTTAAAGATACACAAATTTTAAAATTTGAAGTATTTATAAAATAACATTTCAAATTATGTTGGGGGAAAGAATGAACTCTTCAATAATGAATATTGAGAAAACATTGCTATAAATTTGGGAAAAATTATAAACATACCAAAATAATATAGAAAAGTATTGTTTTTAATAAAATTTTATTTTTATTATTTTTAGATAACTTTTAAAATATTTTTTAAAATTTTTATGTGTATGAGTATATTGCCTACATGTATGTAAATGCACCTATATTGTGCAGTTCCCTCTGAGGTCAGAAGAGGGCATTAGATTCCCTGAAACTGGAGTAAAGGACAGTTGTTAGCCACCGGGTGGGTGCTGGGAACCAAACCCAGGTCCTCTGCAAAAGCAACCAGTGCTCTTAACCACTAAGCCATCTCTTCAGCCCCAGGAAATTATTTTTATAGTGTTTGTTTATCAGCATTATCCCTGACTATGACAAAGTCAAAATCACAAAGGAAAAGACAACAGGTTTGTCTGTGATAATGAGATACAAACATATATGTGGCCTCATAAGAAACCATTGAACAGACAATATTTTGAAAAAAAAAAACATTATATTTGTTATAAATCAACATGAAGAAAGAATGCTAATGAAATAATGTCATTTAAACCTTCATAAAATATGATGCATTTGTCAGATGGAGGCTACTGTAGAGCTGTGCATCTGGTCAGACACAGAGCATACGTCTGGGAGACGCCTAGTACTGGGTGACACATCTGCAGTTGAATCTCTACAACTAAGGCCCATGGAACACAGCAGAATAAGGGGTAGAGATAGGGCTAATGTGCCCCTCAACTCTCACCAGTGAGGCTCCCTTGTATATCAGAGTGTGATGCACACAGAAGGTCACATCTGGCCAAGTCTTGGAGAATAAGAAACTGTAGTGTGTAGGATGGGACTCTGTGCTGGATAGCTTTAGTGTCAACTTGACACACCTGGGTTGAGGAAGCCTCAGTTGGGGAATTGCCTTCGTTGGACTGGCCTGTGGTCATGTCCATGGGGCATCTTCTTGATTGTTGGGTGATGTGGGAGGGCCCAGCCCACTGTGGGCTGTGATAAGAGGGCAGGCTGGGCAGGGGCCAAGGGAGCAAGCCAGTAAGCAACATTCTTCCATGGCCTATGCTCCAGCTCCTGCCTCCAGGTTCCTGCCCTGAGTTCCTACCTTGGGCTCCTGGATGAACTATGATCCGGGATATGTAAGCTAAATAAACCCTTTCCTCCCCAAGTTGGTATTGGTCAGAATGTTTTGTCACAGCAATGGAGAGACAAACTAGGACAGACTCCTATATGGAACTTCACCCACCCACAGCTCAGGGACCATTGCAGAAGAAGAGGCAGAAAGATTGTAAGAGCCAGGGTTGGTTCATGATTACAGGGAGGTGGAGGCTTCCAGGCCACTGGAGGCATGCTCATGTGAGCCTGTAGCAGTGGTGGAATAATGTGCAGGACCAATTTTCAGC